GCTCACTTCCTTTCCATTTTTTTAAATTGTAATTTTACTGTTACTAGAAATATTACTTGTTCGTGGTTTTATTGGCTTTTAACGTTATAAGCCACTCAAAATCGCCTTGAGACAAGATGGGCGGTAAATGAATGAGTGCATGAATGCAAGAATGCATGAATATAATTAAATAAGGTTGTATTTTATGGCTGTCCAAATAGGAGGTAGCTTGTTCAATCATTCTCTTTCATTCCTCTTCACTGCAGTTCTCTGTGTCATTTCAGGTAACACAATTTCCTTCTCTGCTATAACCCAATATTTGTCTTTGCTTCCTATGCATACATGTGCCATAATCTAAATGCTGCACTCAACAGAAATGTGATGTTAGTAGGATGCTTTGAGTCAAGAGGGTTGCAGAAGGTGAAAAAGATTGGTTGCACAAGCCAAGTTACGATATATACAATTGAAAGAGGCCACCCATTAACAACTACCCTGAAAGTAATACACCAAGAACACATAATAAAAATGAACAGATGAACAACTTGAGATAACATTCAAACCCTATAATTTTAACTGGCATAAAGATCAAATATGCTTCAAAATAGGAAACTTGTGTACAAATTCATAACAGAATACAAAAATCAGAGTTTCTTACTATGAGAATGTAAATCTTCTGAAGACAGAGTCTGAAAGAAGTTGTTTACTCTCTGATTCTGGAGAAAAGCTGGGGAAGTATTTGCAAATAGTTGCCTAAAACATATCAGAAAAAACAAATATATTTAACGCTAATATTTAACACAGAGAAATGCCACTGTGTATCAAACATCTCCATTGCAAATAAACAGATACATAAACAGGAAGGAAATAAAAGAGAGGAGATTTTATTATGGGCAAAGTCATGGATGTTTAAAAGTTTTTGAATCTTTTTGAATTTTCATTATTTCTACATAAATGCGACCTAAAATATTATCTGCTCTCCACATAAGTCCTAGAACTCAAACAAATTCAATAAACAAGACAAAATATATTTGTTCATTTATTTATTTATTGAGAAAATTAATGTTTGGAAATAGCCAAGTTAAGTCTTGACCTTAATCTATATTATAGAAATGTTGTGGATGGTTTTCAAGTGGGCAGAATGGGCAAGGAGCCCACCAGCAGCCCCAAGTTGCAGCTGTTTTGCCAGGAGGAATCGGTTAAAATTATTTCAAGCCGATGTGCAGGACTAATCAACTGTTATTGGAAACGTTGTAGCTATTGCTGACCAAGAGGAAGGGGGAATATCATTTTCTGAAAATAAAGGTTCAAATACTTTTACCATGCACAAATATGTTTGGATCATCTTTCTTCTGCTTTAACCAATTTTTGTATAAATTGTGTATTTGGGGCTCTAATCTTGCTGCATGATCAGCCTTTTTTTCCTTTTTTTGAGCTTCAATCCACAGACAGATACTCTGACATCATCCCATAGAAGTTGCTGGTACAATCAGAAGCCAAAGTTTATCAATGATGGCAAGCTGTTCTGACCCAAAGGCAGCAAAGCAGGCCCACCTTAGGATACTGCTACTGTGTTTCATAGCTAAGTTTCTCATGCTGGAAGACAGAATTTGCCTTTTATCAAACTTTTCATTCAAGCCAACAAGTTCTATTTTAGTATCATTATCCACAAGTCTTTCTTCCAATAATCTTCTGGCTTCTCCACATGTTTTTTCATCAACTGTAACTGGGCAGCAATGTTCTTTTTGGAGAATACTGGCTTTATTTATCCAACCCTGCCATGCAAATAATTGTTGTCCAGCATTCTCCTAATGGTATTCCCATGAACGCTGACATTTATCGGTGCAAGAGAGATCCTTAGTTCCTTAAACCCTGCCCTGGGGTTCTCTGAAACCTCCCTTACTCTTGGTTGGATCTTGGAGAGAGTAACAATGTTGTTGAATTGCTTCCATTTAGACATAATCTGCATGCAGTGAACAGATGGGAGTCCAAATTCTTTCGAAATAGTTCTGTAGTCTTTTCCAGCCTAGTAAGCATTAACTCTTTCTGAGAGGTCTTCACAGCTCTGTTTTATTCAAGCCACGACAGATCGATAGGCCTGTAGCATGAAGATCAGATTTTAATGGCAAATACTTTTGCCATAAACGAATACGTATGGCTTTTGGACTATTTTCCTCAATAAATAAATGTACAAGTATAATTCTTTTGGCACCGATTCTCTTTATGTAGTTTTAGGACTTGTGTGGAAAACACATGTTTTACATACATAAAAACAAAAGGGTTCACAAACTTTTAAGTGCATCTGTATAATAAAATGTTACAGAAACCATGCGAACAAAATCTCATACAGTATGATCCAAAAGTCATAGCAGCTATCTAGATGTTAAAAGACTTAAGCCACTTAGACCCATGCTGTTTTCATAGTACACATGCCTACATATCTATAATTCAAGTGTTGCATCCAACACACTTATATTAGTCTCATTCTACATGCACAGGGACAGAAATGATCCTATATAGAAGCATATCATTTTAAAGACAAAGCCTCGCACGACTGGGAATTTTGCAGATTTTTGTGTAGAAACTTTTATAAGATGCTTAGGGCCTGTAGTTGCAGAGAAGGGAGAAGGATTATAGCTTAACGATACAAAACATGGTCAACATTTAAACATTTGTATGTTCAACACGATTAGCACCATTCAGCTGGATCAGGAATAGATTCTTTGATACCCACTGAATGTTAAGTATACAGAAAGCCCTCATAATTAAGACACATTGGTTGGACCTGACAGAATTGAGAAAAACGTAGATTGCTTTATTCTGAGGTAAATGAACTAAGCATGACTATATAAAACACTGATTTCTCAGATCTCTAACTGAACATACATAATAAAGTGATTAATTCAAGATAAATTTACAGTAAAAATAACTATATTCGTTGCTCAAAAGTTTTACCTTATCATAGGCTCAAAGTCTGAATGCCTCCTTTCTTCTTGTTTCTGTAACCCCTGATTTAATGCCGCTAAAATAGTCTTGTCAAATGATTCAGAAGAAAGATCCTTTGGAAGCTGATGAAAGGCACATTATTAATTATTGTAGAAAAAGTAGCATTTATCATAAGTAAATGGATAGATTATAACATTTAACTTTAGAACTCCTTTCTTCATTCCATAAATTCACAGATCAACGCTTTGAATTATTTTTGACTCATTTTTATTTAAACGGGTCAGTATATCTAGTAATACAGCATGTCAAAGGTGAAAAGACCATCACCACACGCATAGTATCCAGTAGAATAGCCAACTGAACTTTATTCTCTACAATAGGATATGGAATCTTTATTTAGTGAAAGATGAAACCCAGGCAGCAAACTTTAGAAATAGGAGATACAATTATAAGTTATGATGAGAGTAAGGAACAAAAAGGACAAAGGTGGAGTTTTGCAAGGCAAAGCATATTGACATTCGATCTCCAGATATCCAAATAACAAGATAAATTATGTTAAGAAGCAAACGCTTTAAAATATGTTATAAAGGGGCGGGGGGGGAGAGAGAGGGAGGGAGGGNTTTATTTTCTCTTGGTCATATTCATATTCAAGTAAAGGTTATGACCATACAAAATTAGCACTTTACTTACTACCATCGTGACACTAATGGCAGTGTTTCTCAACCTTGGTGACTTTAAGTCCTATGGACTTCAACTCCCAGAATCCCCCAGCCAGCATAGCTGGCTGGGGAATTCTGGGAGTTGAAGTCCACAGGACTTAAAAGTCGCCAAGGTTGAGAAACACTGCTAATGGAATTTTTTGAGCAGCTTCTGTTCCTATTATGGCATGGGTACACAAACCATTGAAATCACTGATTAAAAAAAAGACAGGATTGCGGTCTTAGAAAAATAGAAGGAAAGGAAGAGTCCTCCAGTGAATAAGCTAGAGTTCAAGAATTCAATAGGAAATGTTCTCTTCTAAGTCCTCCAAGGCACTACTGTCCTAGCAGTCCTAAAGAAAATGGGCATTTGGCTTGCTTTTCAAATCAAGCCCATGCACAGAGATATGATGGGTGACTTGAGCTAGTCATACGCTCTCAGCCCAATCACTTCTCAAAGTTATTGTCGTGGGGAAAATAAGAGGAGGGAGGAGCATTATGCCTGCCCCCTTGAATTATTTATAAAAATAATACAGGCAGAATAGAAATAGACAAAAAAAAACCAAAGAAAATAAAAGAAATAACATTCCTGCTTTAATACAGGATTGTGGACAGCAGTTCCCTGATATGCCAAGTAGACTGCATGGACATTCAGAATCCCTATGGAGAACTGAACAAAAGTGACCCATAATGTAAGAGAATCTACATGAATTAAGCTAAACTCTGACTAACAGCATCTCTATCTGTCTTGCTATCTCCCCTTACTATTCCACAAGTAATAGTATTATGCTGCATATTTGCTAAGTGTATTGCCCACTATATAAATCAAAGAAGAATATTAAAATAATCTCTAATGTATTTGAAGGGTGTTTTGTACCTTTTACTGTTCCTGGATGCAGGTGATGAGCATCTGCAACTCTTACATAGTTGGCTCTCATGGTTAGTCTGGAATCAGTCCTCTTTATTTTATCTCTGTGCAGGGATAAAAACATTAATCAAAAGAATAAGTATAAAATTCTCTTCATGGAACCATGAATTCTAAACATCTACTATCATCAACTTGTGAAGATCTAAAATGGCATGATATCCAGGTTGCGATTAGAACATGCCTCTCCAATACTTTTTTAACAATAGAAAACCTGCCCAGAAGCTCCAAAATATGAATCACTGGTAATAATAAGAGTTTTCAAAGAGTTCAGTGATGGTTAATTCTACAATAGACAATCTTTCTACAACAGACAATCTTTCAAAGCCCCAAACAAACTCAATGAAATTCTTTAGGCAATTCTAATCCAACAGCAGATCAATCGAACTGCAAAATCTAAGTTGTTCAGAATTATGAAAAATAACATAAGGTCATTTAGTTATTTCTGAAATGGGACATCACTTTTTCCACAGGGAATATTAAAAATTAAAAAAATACTAACTCTTCAAACTTCTATTAACTAATTAACAGTAGCAAACACCTTGTCTTTATTCAGAAGTCTACTATATCCTATTACTTACAACTTTAATCTTAAGTTACATTTATCAATTTTGCACATGCTATTCTTAATATGCATTCATCTGTCTAATATTGCTAATAATCAAGATCAACCACACGTCTGAATGACAAACATTCACTTTTTAGTAACCGATAGTAATATAATTGATTCTAGGGATACTAGGAATGTCTGGGGAAAACATTTACACAATACTCAGTTTCTTTTAAAAATGAAATAAACACCTACTTTTCTGATTGCTGTTTTCCTTTTTTTTTGTTTAATACAGGCAAATTCTTTTTCTCTCCCGCATGCTAGGTGAAATAAAAAACAGATCAGAAGTTTTGCATCTATGTACAAATTCACTTTAAAATGTAATGAAATTAGTTGCATTTGTTGCCTTAATATGTAACAATTGCCAATTGGCAATTACTTCAGAGGCAGCTATAAGCTTTCCAAGAACTTATGAAAAAGATTTCATCCTCTGGTATCAGTGCTAGTGGATTTAGATACAACCTGAAACAATTACACATAACATATTTATGTGTCTAAGACACATAATATCATCTCTCCTTTTTCAATCTTTGAAAGTCACCCTTCTATTTTTGAGTAACAAAAGTTGGGTGTTTTTTCAGGCTGAGATTTGTGACATGTTTGTATATCTCTCATATACCATATGAAATAAGCATTCAGCCATAGAGTGTATGTGTGCAAGAAGAACGGAAGAGTGATTATGTTTTATTTAACATGTTTAACCTGCTTACAATTTTGAAATTATAAATTTAATCACATCAGAAAGATGAACCACATAGAACTATCTGAGAGTAAAGTTACAAAAACTTTTAACAGTAATCAGTGCTTTCATGAAAACAGCAATTTCCATCCTATGCTTCTAGGTGAATTATCACCAGGCCATATGCTTAATAGTGCCCACGTGTACCAAGACATTTATTTATATTAATTGGACATACATTTTCAGCGTACAATTGTTTACAATTCAACCTCTTTGGATATTCATGAATTCAGTGTCTATATATAGTAAAGCTATTGGTTAAATTACAGATCTATGCAAAAGAAAGCCACAAAAAGGTTTTACAGCTTCAAATAATTACTAGTGAAATGACAGATTGTAAGAATCATTTGGCTTCTTAGAATACTGGAGGATAGCCATAGCAATCTAATTTCGTAGAGAAACAGGCAACATCCAATCCACAAACTACATATGATAATTAGCTATGCTGGGGGAGAGGTCACCCCGTGTCAGAAATAGCACTGCCCAAGTTTAAAAAAAAAACAAAAACAGAAAAAGATCTACATATTTAGATGTGTGAACTTGCTATTTTCTAGCAAAAAAGGAAAGAAAAGAGGAAACGGATTGAAATGCCTCTACTTTAATTCTTATTAAATAACTTAAACAGGTCTTCTATCCAACTTAAATAGTGTGGGAGGTTATCTGCATTATCTTCCCACCTTAAAGAGGAGATGACGAATTTCTCTCGGAAAAAGCTAATATTTAAAATGAAACCAATCAATTCAAGGTCTCAGAAATATGCCTTTTTATATGAAGTTTTGCCGCCATTTTCTTGCGTAGACTTTCTAGGGTGAAAAAAACTAAAATACCTGATCAAGTATTGTGCAATGCTCTGGATGCTGCTGCAGAGCCCAGCCCTTTCTCCTCCAGTCTGCTACAGCTACACCATTATATTCACCGTGTGCTACGTCAAAACCATCCAGTGAGGGACATCTGGTGTTAATAGTGCTGTTATAAAACAAATAATAAGAAACTATCATTAAACAGATTGCTGACTTCTCAACCATCAAAACCAGTGGCTCTTATTAGGGATAAATTGGGCATATCCTGGGGTGAAGCATCCAGTTTAGGGCTACGGCTGCCAATAAATTTGTGTTTTATTTTGTTTTTCCATTTTTTTAATGGGAGCATTATTTAAGACTAAGAAAGAGGGTAATTGAGCCAAACAGTTTAGAGAATTGTAGATATAAAGCATATTTCCCTCTCTGCTTATCTTTGACCTCACCTTTGGGTGACTAACTGTACATACACAAATCTGGACTTGTGCAGATTACTATTTCGGAATGATCCTCAACTGACCTTTCTTATAGTAGCCCTACCCTTATCTCACTCATTCACAATAGTTGCTTCACTAACCAACACGGGTAGGGCTGAAATATCAGCATAGGAAACACCTTTCAAAAGAAATTGCCTGTATCAGGGGAAGAGAAATATTGTATGCATGCAGATGCCCCTTTGAAGAAATACAACTGTAGCCATTGTCTATGTTACCAGAGATGCAGAGTCTCTAAAGAGTACAATTTTTTTTTGTAAGTGAGATTTCAAAACTGCTTTCAAGAGATAAATTAGACCTTGATGTACTCTTGATTCTAATGTACATTTTTAACTTTGGAATTTTGTTAGCCAACTTTTTATCTAGTACAGTATAAATTATACAATTGGATGTAGAGTTTTTCTGTTTGCCTGAAACATGAAAAGTTTGGTTCCTTATGCAATAGTATTATAGTGCACGTTTTATTGCCTTTATTGCCCCACGTAGTTCCAGAGCAATAGTATTTTATTTAACAGAATAATTTGGCAACTGTCAAGTCTACATTATGAATTAAATTTCAAAACAGAATTCTCCAATTATGCCTAACTGTTTAATCTCTCTACCCTCAAGAAAATTTCAATGTATTTATTTATTTATATCCCACCTTCATTTTTATAAATAATTCAGGACAGCAAACGTACATAATAGCTTCCTATTTTCCCCACAATAACAAACCTGTGGGATGGGTTGGATTGAGAGAGAATGACTGGCCCAAACTCACTCAACCATCAGATTATTTGTGCAATATCAGCTCCTATTTTAACAACTCCCAAACTTATCCAGGTTTAGCAAGTTATGAAAGTAGCTTTAAATTCATCCAATGAATCAAATACCAAAGACTATTTTAAATGAAAAGAAACATTTAACACCTACTTAGCAATAGGACATTTCCCATTATGTTTCTTATGAATAACTGGGTGCTGCATCATATCTAGATAAAAAAAATAAAGTATTGTGCTATTAGTTAAATATTACATTATAATGGCTTTATTATACAATATCATACAAATTCCTTCAAATAAAATATTACAAAAGTATGTTTTTATTATATTATCATGACTGCAATACCTGAAGTACTATAAAAT